TTTACAATAAAATGATCAGCGAAGATTTATTGTTAAATTTTCGAATGTATAAAAAATATATGGTGTAAATATTAATTTTTTTAGTATCTCAGCAAGCTTATTTAAACGGATATTCAAGCGAATCAATAATCGTAGCAAAAAGAATTGAGATCATTCACTTTTTAGCATTTATTGTCGGTAATGGTGCGCTTAGTGTGACAGAAAATATGTCACTATTGGAAAAAAATCCTTTTAAATGTAAATCCCCAATAGCATTTAAAACTTATAACTACTCGTATGAAAAATGTGCGAAATACATATATCGATTCATCAATGTATACAGGATGCACAAATTAAAACTTACTTGTAATATAAAAACTGCGCAAAGAGAAATAATTACTATAATTATTTCTTCAAGTATAAAAGATCTCGAGTATTATATTCTACTCTTCGATAAGTGTAGTATACATGTACAATATTGCATCTATTTTAATTATTGATTGAATTGCGTGTTGGGAGATGAATACTTGTTTAGAAAGGGAAGGAAGAATATTACATATCTCATATTCTCTGTGTGAAGTAATCATTTCAAGATCATAAATCATTAAATGGACAGCAAACCGCTGTCAACGATCTTAAAGATAACCGTGCAATGAATAACATAATTAGATGCAATAATAGATAAGATAATACGAGAAATCAAAGACAACATTAATGTTAATAATTTAAATACATATACAAAGCAATAAAGTTAAATAATAATTAATGAAGAAAGATGGAAAGATGACATAAAAAGAAATACATTTATCATGACAGTATGTCTAATACATATATAATTGAAATTTAAACATATACTAGTCTCTTGAATTATTTTTTAATAACTTATCGGAAGTAAAAATTCAAAAGTTTGAAACTTATTGCACTCAAAAATTTTAACGATAAATTATCATGACTTTAATATTACGTATAATCTGCATATAATGTGCCGGAAGTATCCGTATGAGTATTTCAATGCAAGATTGTATCGTCAATAATGTATGCGTGTAGAGAAAAACATGTTACGCATGAGATGAAATTCTTGCCTAAAGCTGAAGTATAATACACCATACACACACATATATACATACATACATATATATACTATATATATATATATATATATATATATATATATATTGCACCAAAGTGAGTACACATATATTTCTATATAGTTTATTACAACCTCCATATAGCTATTCTTCGTATCTTTCGTTTTCGGTCTCACCTTTATATTAGATTGCCGACAAGGAAGTAGGCTAATGGAGTGCATCTCTGCTATTATCATTCTAGTATAAAATGTGGTACAAAGAAAAAATAAAAATTATTGGAAAGGTTGTGTCTAAAAACAATTTACTTAATGCACCAGCTAAATGCTAGCTGCTTCGTAATTATCACCTAAATAAAAGCTATTATTTTAATATACGAATACTACTGCCTTCTTTTAAAAACAAGTATTTTTTTATTTCAATTTCCTTAACAATGTAAGAATAATTTTTGCTAAAATAAGATATTATTCTGCAATCGATTAAATATCAACATAACAAAAATATTTAAATATAATATATATTTTTCCGAGAAAGAATATGCCATAATTTACATGCCATTCACAAATCGATATCTGATAATTGTTTTATCTAATTCCGAGTGAATTTTTTCTACGTTATTTTATATTCTAGGTATATGTATTGATATATAACTGTCTCATAATGTCTGTGTAATAATAAAACGCGTATCAATATTTTTAATACTTGTAAAATATTGATGCACATCGTTCTGCATTCCACTCCACAGTAAAAAAACACGCAAACATTAAATTAATTAGAGTCCTACGGGCATTGGATCGTGTTCCATTTTGAGAAAATTAGTGAACTCTTTAGTCTCTCCCTTCTAGTTTAGAATGTCGGTCAGACATAATTACATGACAGATTTTGATCGTTCTTAATATATATATTATAAAATGAATAAAGACTAGAATAATTTTTAAATAATAAAATTGCGTTATAAAATAACTAATAGTTTAAATATATAAATGACAAAATTTTTATATTTTAAATGCAAATAAATTTTGTTAAAAGCTTTTTTGACATTTCGACCAAAATTCGCAATTTGATTGCGGTTTAATTAATGTTGATAGGATTATACGCGAAACAATCTACTTCACTTTACTGATTGATTCGACAAAACATGAAACATTGCAATTATGTATGACCTATTTTTTTAAATAAAAATTTTAAATACAAGAGATGCTGCTAATAAAAATATTAAAAATTATAATCGTATATTATAAATTTATATGTATATATGTATATATATATATATATATAACTAAAAAAATAAACACAGCATTGTTATTAAAATTGCTGACTTTATTTTGTAGATATTATTTCCGTATGCGAATAATTTTATTATACTGTGAATTAAAATATATTTATCAGACGAAAATGGAATCACATGATTAAACTAAAAATAAGATTACAGTTATAGCAATAAACCTAATTTGCATCGTTAAAATCAAGTCAAGTAGTATGATCAAGTATCAACTTGATGAAGCGATTTAGAAAGTTTTGGTGAACGATCGGGCATTCGTTAAAATATATATGTGTATATATATTTTTGGCGCCTCTATACACACACATATATACATATATAGAGGCGCCAAAAAATATGTTGATCAACTAATAATGAAAGTTACATGATTTAAGATCGTTTCAACGATTGACATAGTACCCTCGCTAATAAGAGAAAAGTCGTAATTCACGTATAAATGGCAAATTTGCATGATAATAGTTAGAAACATTTTCATCTAATCTACAAGGTTACAATTTGTATATCTGTCATTGTATCTCTAACTTTCTTATGCATTATTCATTTATACTTGACATTTGACATATATTCTTCTCTTCCTTATTTTCTACATATAATATAAAATCGGGTTTAAAGATCAGTGTTAGATATATATTATACATATAATAATGTTTAATTTTTTAACAGTTCTAATAGAAATTTTTATTATATGTTATTTAATTGCAAAGAAAAAAGAATGAAAATGAAATAGAAAATTTTGTTAGTATTATATCTAAAATAAGCTTCTAAATTATATGTCTCTTCGACGCATTTTTTAAATTTTAATAGCTTTAATATATAAGCACATGTAGCATAATAATAAAAATATTAATTTATTTTAGGAATTCTTTCGAATATAATGATACATTATACTACATATATAAGACATATAATAAGCTGTTAAGCGGTCTTATTATCGATAGATGATTCAATTTGGAGAAAGTAATAATTTAATAACACGAGAAATATTCAATATATGCTTCAAAATAAATGAAATTCTATTATTCTAAGGAATGTTCATGGTACTAAAGAGTTTCTTCATTACCATGATCGCGATTAGTTAACAAGATTACTTAGCGATGTTACTCGCCTTGAAAGCGAGTTTATTGTCCCAGAAAACTCCTTTGAGAGAACCAAAGCTAATATTGTAATTTAAAAATTTAAATATAAAACAATCACACGATGATAACAATGCTTATCATTTGACAATACTCATAAAATATATTAATAATACTCGTAAGATGTATTAAAAAGAAATAATATTATATTGTCGCTTTATTTTATCGATATTATATAAGATTATGAATAATTACATAAGATTACAAATATAAAGAAGTTTATCCAGATTCGCTCATGGAAAACATATTTTTCACAGGTGAAGAATAAACTTTCGATTAAATATTTATCAACTTTTAAACTTTTATATTTAAAAATCTGAAAATTTTACATAAAACACGTTGAAATAGTTGAATAGTTAGACACACTTTTGGCCATAAACTAGAACTAAAAATACAAATGCAATCATAAACATTATTGTTTCTCAGTTTGTGATACTATAGCATGCATTCAGTAATGAATTCATAAAATTAATAAATCTAAAAAAACTTATAACTTCATATCTTTATTTTTAATTACGTTTTCCTTCTTCAATTAATGTCATGTAGATTATCACTTCCTTGACAACATAATATTAAAATAATAATACCCTAGGAGAAGAATGTCTAGAAAAACAGATTACAAATCAAAAAGTCAATTTTTACTGATTTAAAATTTACTGGACACATTAACTTTAACTGTGTCTAATGATTAGGTACAAAATTCTATTAAGATAAAATTCTATTTATACGACTAGCTACTAATCAGTACGTAATTTAATTTTTAATATATGGTGCTGTTAAAAAACCATTTTCTAGACAAAAAATATCCAGAAATTAGTAAAGCCAAACGAATCGGTAAATGATAAGTAGTATCAGTAAATGATGCCTAGTCAAAACTCGGAATATATTTTTTAATAATTATATTTTCTGAATAAGTAATCAAGAAATTAGACAAGATAAAGGCTGTGTTTAAAAACTTGTACTTTAGTTATTATTTCCTAATCAAAAATAAGCCGCAGGAACTAATCACATGAAACTGACTGGCCTTTTAATCGTGTTTTCCATCTCGAATCAATATTATACTCTTGTACGTTTTTAAATTGTCGCTTAGTTTAGAAATACAATATCAAAATAATTTTGCAATAAAAATGGAAAAATTAATAAAAAAATTCTTTTAAAATTAATTTAACATTTTTTTTTGTTTTCTATTTTGTATTCTCTTTATAACATTACACATATCGCACGTGTATCGTACATATCTTTTTTTATGAGATTCATATTTTACATTATCAATCTTTTCAAATGGTCCTGATATCACATTTACTTTCAAATATATATTCTTCTCAATCTTAAAAAAAAAATTTAATAAAAATCCTGAGAACCAGGTAAATTTCTTCGTGTACTACCATCTCGTGGAAAATCCATCAAACGCGGATACATGGGTGGTTCTGCGCGCGCAGAACGGTGTTATCGATGAGTGAACGCGGCAAGAGGCAAAGAGATAGCAGATGGATCGAACAAGGGGAGTGAAGGGAAGAAACGTAACCCAGTATGCAGAAGAGAGAGGAGAGCCAGAGCGACTGGACTCTGGAGCGGGTCAGTCGGCTGGTAGCCCGTAGGCTGGATGAACAGCCTTTCTCGTAAATAGAACGGCACCGTATGCCGTCTCCCTGGAGGCTGCTGGACTCTCAGCAGGTGTGAAGAAAGGGTGACTCTCTGACATCGTCGCGAGAGTGAAGTGGGGAGGAATCCGTGAATCTCAGGGTGGGAAAGAGAGGCAACGGTTAAAAGAGATGTCGGAAAGAAAGGAGACGGTCGCGCAGGATAACGCGCCGGAAGGGATAGACATCGAAAGACCCTACTGGGATCAGAGCACATATCAAGGAAGGGCATTGCATTTTCTGACTGTGACGAATCCGCTCAATGTCTTCGCTTCGAACCGGAGTCTCGAGCACGCACGTGATGTCGTCACGAAACACAGGTAGTCGCTGCTATAATTAGATTTTTCTCCTTCTCTTTGCTGGAATGCGTATAATCAGCAAACTGCCGTCATATGTGTATGTCGCATGCTACACGTGTGTAAAACATATGATGTGTGCTATTATGTATTATGTAATGTTGTAATGCCATTCTCTCTTTGTTTTAAATTTTAAATTAGACCATCGATTACTCTATTGATTTGTGTAAATTGTGTTTTAAAGAAGAATCACAATAAATAATTTTGTTCAAGACAAGTTATCTATTTCAATTATTTCATGTTTTTATTTAGGAGTTTCCTTTTCTTATAAATTCTATTTTTTTTAAATTTTATTTTTATGAACGTCTCTTTCTCCGTTTTTTTAATTGTTATATAATTTGTTATATAAGTACGAAATAATGATCCAGTTTAACTTTATCATCGCAGACAGGGCGAAAGCTTGAAAAAACAAGGAGTCAGCACGGATGAATTATGGAATTGCAAATATCTTTACGACAGCGCTTACCATCCTGATACCGGCGAAAAAATGCTATTAATTGGACGCATGAGCGCCCAAGTGCCCATGAATATGATGATAACAGGCTGTATGATGACGTTTTACAAGTATGTACTAATAATTGTCGACACACAAAATCATCATGATAAGAGCATCGGATACTTTGACCTCTAGTGCTTTTTTAAATATCAAAACTACAATCTTAAGCAATAGTAATGTACAGTAATTTTTCGATTTTATTTATATACTTTTCACAACAAAAATAATTCAACAATAAAGAGCTCTCGACAATTTCAAATACGATTACTTCGCGAGAAGCAACACAAAGTCCACAATCAAAACATTCAAGAGACTGGAAAATTAGAATGATTACTTACTGTTAGCGATTAGAAGATCGTTGGAAAGATCATTCGTTTAGATAGCTCCAGAGTATTTATTAGCAGCCTATGTTGTTATCGAAAGAAACGTTTACGTTTACAATCTCGTAGGTCAACGCCAGCTGTAATTTTCTGGCAATGGATCAACCAGTCGTTCAATGCTGTAGTTAATTACACGAACCGCAGTGGTTCAAGCCCAATTCCGACAGAAACGTTAGCACGAAGCTACGTCGGCGCTACTGGAGGCGCCGTGATAACAGCGTTGACCTTAAACCGTCTTGCTCAACGTGGACCACCGCTGGCAGGTCGGCTGGTACCATTAGCAGCGGTCGCAGCGGCTAATTGCGTCAACATCCCTCTAATGAGGATCACCAAAATGGTCCAAAATGGTATCGAACTGGCAACCGAAATGGTCGTCGAAAACAGCAAACGTGCTGCGAGAGAGGCAATCACGTCTGTAACGTTATCGCGAATACTTATGGCCTCTCCGAGCATGAGTAAGTTTTGCTGCGTTTGCTTCGTTAATCAACCTACTTATTAACTATTTTTCGCTCAACTTTATCTCAACTATTTTGATAAACTTGTTCTAATTCTTCGTTTACGCTAAAAGATTAACATCATCGATGAATTTATTAATTTTGTGACGCTTGTAAATTCTTTTTCTATTTTTATACGATAGATATTACGTAAGCAAAAATTATTTACGAATAGCTATATTTATTATTAAATATAATTATTTATATAAATCTAAATTTTTATGAATAGACCTCATTTTCTTCAAAGTAATCAACGAAATTGTTAAAAATGTCATTCGTCTGAATTTATAGATCATATGATGCAAACCATATCGCTTGATTGTTGCAGTATTGGCGCCAATAGTAATGAATTACTTAGATCGAAGACAATTGTTGCGTAAGGCGAAATGGGCTGCCGGACCAATTCAAGTTCTGATTTGCGGAGTGTGTCTTACTTTCGCGACGCCGCTCTGTTGCGCTCTTTTTGCACAACGCGTTCCTATCTCGGTAAATCGATTGGAATCCGATGTGCAAGAACAAGTACGCTCGCACGATTCCGGTCTGGAAATTGTTTACTACAACAAGGGCCTTTAAATAATATGGGGCAGGATCCCCACACGGCACTCGGATACTTTATCAATTCAATAACGCGATCTACTTGAAACTCAGGTATACACGAGACATTCCCTACACAACATTCGAAAGCACAAATACGCTGTTATTGTTAATGACTGTCAACGATTATGAAAATAATTCCTTGTTGCTTACAACTATATATATATATATATATATATATATATATATATATATGCCGTGAATAATTGATGTTCAACGATGATAATATGAAAATTTGCAAAGAGATACTATCATATCAGAGTTGTCTATTTAAATCTTTGAAAAATTCTTTGATTTCCCAGACATTTTTATTCAATTTTTATGTAATATTAAAATATTTTTTATATACGCAAAAATATAAAATTTTAATATTTTTAGTTTTTATACAATTAAAGAAAGAATTACTTAAAAATTTTCTGGATTTCCAAGATAAAATCTCTTAAAAAATTTTATTATTTTTTTTTTCAAACAAAAAATGTTCTAAGAATTCTTTTCAGATTTTTACAGACACTCTATTTATACCGATTCGTAAATGAATTTTCTTAGCTATGTACGTCCAAATACGTATACATATCTTTCCTTCCATTTCGGCCTGTATACAATGAATCTTCAGACTGTAAAGTGAGAAAGGGTAACAAAGACAATAAAATAAACAATTTAGTGTTCTGAATAAATTTTAATTGTATATTTTAATCTGCAATTGTGAGTTGTCAATGTATGTATGAAGCTTAAGCATTGTGTTTACTATCCAAAACAAGAATTTCCGGACGTGGTGCGGTAGACAAATCGATCCGTTTAGTTTTAGGAGGCGCTCTAATTTTGCGACCGAATCTACCTGTTTTGCGTTGCCACAATCCACTCCTTGGTCGATTTCCCAATTCCCGATTTTTCTGCGCGCTGCCAACCGGGGTACTACTGTGTTCGGTATTCGATAATCGTCCAACCGTAGCCATACACGTTTCGTGCAAGCTGAAAGTCCTTTTCTTTGCCACCTGTATTATCACACGATCCTCTTCTCGCCTTAATACTGTTGCAACGCCGCCAGCAGCGTGTATCAGGAATCCACCCAGTCCTGGATATTTCTCTATGCAATGAACCTGAGTCCCTACGGGTAAAGCACCGAGAGGATATGCATCTCCCTCCGAGGGCCTTACAGGATTACGCGGTATTCCTTGATGAGTACGTATTATATCGCCCGATTTCATATTTTTCGTGGCTAAAATATATTTCAATTCGCGTCCGGTACCGACCAACGCGACGAAACTCGTCCTACAACCGTCCTTGAAGATCTCTAGGACCTTTTCTTCCTTTGGCGGTACATTAAGGTCCTTAGGTCCATCCCTGAACCAATCCAGTGATCCCAGTGACCGCTACTCTACCTGTGCTATTATTTTATAATTCTATCACTTCAACCAAAATTTGCAATTTGCATTCCGCAAGCAAAATATGACCTCGAACTCTACCTTTTTTTTATATACTGTAATTGTTCGAATATTATATAAAAAACTCTGCATATGAAAATAAGTATTTCTCACTCTTTCGCTTGTAATGTAAACACATTTCATATAAGTATGAATCTAATCTCGTTATCCATAACAGAAGATATTGATAGATAATGCTATTTTTTAATTTTATAATTATATCAAAAAAAGATAGTGCTTCAACACAAAATTTGCAATTTGCAAAAATTTTTGCAAAAGAAATATTGATCGCAAGCAAAATATTTATTATCTGACCTCGAATGCTAAAGATCAATTTTAATTAAAGATTTCTTTTTTTTTATATACTGTAATTGTTCGAAATATTATCGCATAAAAAATACTCTGCATATGAAATTCGGATAATTAATCATGTATTTCTCACTCTTTCGCTTGTAATGTAAACACGTTTATTTCATAACATATCAGTATGAATCCTCCGTAATATGCTAAATTAATTTTTACGTTATATAAATGAGATAAAAATTTCCATATGTACACGAAGCGATATTGATAGAAGCTAATGTGTATATAAAAAAAGATCTATTTTTTAATTTTATAATTATATCTCGTTTCCAAAAAAAAGATAGTGCTTCAACACAAAATTTGCAATTTGCAAAAAATTTTTGCAAAAGAAATATCGATCGCAAGCAAAATATTTATTATCTGACCTCGAATGCTAAAGATCAATTTTAATTAAAGATTTCTTTTTTTTTTAATACTGTAATTGTTCGAAATATTATCGCATAAAAAAATACTCTTTATATGAAATTCGGATAATTAATCATGTATTTCTCTCTCTCTCTTTCGCTTGTAATGTAAACACGTCTATTTCATAACATATCAGTATGAATCCTCCGTAATATGCTAAATTAATTTTTATGTTATATAATTGCCACATGTACAAAAATCAATATTAACAGAAGCCGATGTGTAAGTTATCTATATTATCTTCCAGCAGTTCCTCGTCAATAGAGGTCATAGACTTACATCTCATGCTCAACAATACATATACATTCACGCATTGATTACGTCTCATTGATAAATTTATGAATAAGATGAAACTCAAATATTATATCGATCTAAGATCTAAAAAGAATGCCGCAGCAATAATATTATTTATTATTTCACGTACCTGTAACGGGATCCCTGCCTCCTAAGTTTGTAACCTGCAAAGGCTCCACCGTGTACTTATCCTTGAAATGGACAATTCTTCGAAAAGCTTTGCCGTGGCCAATTTCTGGTAGCTTGACGAGTTTCCATCTGTATCTTCTGGGTACTTGAGAGAACACCGAAATCGTCGAACCAACAAAATTAGATATTTGTTGGCCGAAAACACGACATGCCAACATGGTAGTAGACATCTTGAATTAAAGGGGTACTGGCATTGAGTAGAGTGATGCCATCTCTGAACAGAATGTCGTCTAAATTTTAATGAAAGTTACTTTATCGATAGAAAGTAAGAAAGTTACTTAATAAAATGGCCGAAGCTTGATATATGCATTTGTAACGCGTAAATATTTTTACGAATTTTTAAGACGCAGTTTAAAAAGTTATATTTAATTTTCATAAACTTGGACAAATTAAAAATATACATCTTTATAAAATTTCATCTGAATTTTTGCTGAAAACAAAAGATAAATGTTAATTTTACGTTAAAATATACAATTTATTTATTTTTTAAAATTTATCTCGAATTCGTTATCTGTTCTTTAATAAAATCAACAACGCTTTATATTAGGATTCTTTATCGCCAGTCAAAAAATTAAAGGAATAAATATATTTCTCGACCAATAATTTTCGTTTATCGATTTCCGTATTTTTTTTTTTTGCGCATATTATACTATTATAATACATTTTATTTCAGTATTTATTTTTTTTGTGTAATACCTATTATTTATTCAGTACACTTACGAAAGGGACCAAAATTATGGTCGAAAATGATGTTTCGAGAATTTATGAAAAAAATAATCGCCATAGTACTAGTCGAGAAATATTTATTCCTTTAATTCCGCTTTACACGTTATATCAGAAAATGACACAATGAAATGTGAATTTATCGCGTCGCAAAGTCGCGTGATCAAGAATGTGATCTCATTGCGGCGCTCGTCATAATGAGGATAAAGTTTAGTCGCGGAGCATAAACGCGACGCGCCAATTAGCCGACGTTCCTTAAGATCTCGGCGCGCGTAAATCCCGCGAAGTGATAACGAATAAACGCTCGAATAACGGTACCGCGTTAATATCCCGCCGAAGGCCGCTCGTGGAAAATGCGTCCCGCATAGAGAGGAGAAGCGAGCGAGAACGAAGCGTGGAGGGGAATGGCTTAATTGGTCCAGGGTAATTATTTTATTAAGTGAGAAGATGGCGGATGGAATGCTAAGAGAGAGCAAGCACGCTGGTGCGGTCTGCCGACCAGGGGCGCCGACGGAAACGTCGCGATAGGCAGAAAAGAGGGAGAGAAGGGACAGAGAGTCGACAGGGGGTTGACTCTCTGTGCGGAGAACGTTTAAATACCTACGTATCCACTCGGACGACCGTACTTGGAAACGGCACGGCTTATATACAGCTCTCTTTCCGTATAGGTGAACGCGGCCGCGAACTTTCGGTCGTGTGTGTCTCTCTCACGTGCACGCGCAATTCTCACCGTCACGCACGTTCATGCGCGTTTGTCTCCTCCCGTTTCTCTCCAGTCTTTGCCGCGAGAGAGAAAGGCGATAAAGGAGGACGCTGTACGCTTTTGCGCGCGCGTCTCCGCGTTGGTCGTGAAGAAGGAGAACATCTATTACCCGGTACATAGACCAAGGAGACGGAATCGTCCAGGGAGGGGTGCGGGCGAGAGTAGTCGAGCGGCAAATTGTCCGCCATCTTACCCACCTTATACCTTATCTCACACTCTCGCCCGTAACCACCCTTATCCACCCCTTCCTCCGCTTCCACGCTTTCCTCTCCAACCAGACCCTCTCACCCTACTGAGCGCCATCCACTTTCCCCTCTTACCTAGCTCACCTCCACCCCCTTAGTGCCTCTCTCTCTCTCGGCAGCCACCGCCTCGAAAGCTTTAGATTACCTACCCCTTATAAGCGCTCGTGTTGCCCATTTATTACCACGACTACCACACGATCGAAAGACCAACCGCCTCTCTCTCTCTCATCCTCCACCCTTATTTCCTCCCTGCTACCATCTTCGACGTGTACCTTACCTTCGTTTCTTCATTTTCTCTTCTCGAGCACCCACCGCGATCCTTATTAACGCTTTAACGCTATCATTACATAACTACGCGTGCCCGTTTCTCGACTCGAATAACACGATTAGTTGAGTTTACAGAGAATTACTCGCCACTATGTATTATCCGGTTGGATTTAATCTCTGGATTTAGACGATCGAAGAATCGCTCTCGCGTCATTGTTGCTTGCGATTATATGTGAAATTAATGATGAAAAAATGAATCCTCTTTCTCAGATTTTTGCCCACCGCCGTTTATTTCTGTGCTTTTGTTCTCCTATAAATGCCCGCGACGTTTCCTTTGTTTCGTACCTCGACAGAGAGAGAGAGACGGTCCTTATTACCTTTAACGTTACCATTACATATCCAAGCTCGCGGTTTACGACGAGAGACTCGAATAACACGATTAAGCGAGTTTACGGCGAATTACGTATACTACGTCTATCCGAAGCTACACTAGCGCTTCTATCTATTTAGAGGTGAGAACAATTTTCTTTAGAACGCGAAAACCACACAAAGTGGTTAACTACATCGAGAAGTTGCGCGAATTATGCATTTCTTGTTAATGATTCTCTAATTCCTCCTGAAAATTACCCATCTCTCTTTCCACGTTTAAGCATTAAATTATCGTCGGGTTTTCCGAATTTTGCCTATCGTGCGTATATGAAAATCGCGTACGATGTAAACGGATGAAATAGAACGACGTAATGAGAATTAGATGGTTACATTTAACACTAAATGTGCGTTGAAAATTCAAATGTGTTTAAATTTCTGGCGCAACTGGAAAACTCGTATTTATTTATTTACGCGTATTTATTTTTCAACTGTGGGATAATTAGCTCGCACATGCTCGCAGCATCATCACTATGAGGAACACGCACTTTTAAATTAAAATATTCAACTTTACACTACATTCTAAAAGGATTAACAATAGCGAAAACTATATTTTGCCGCGACACACAGGGTGTCCGGTAACCAACGATTACAAGTGGATTCTTTGATCAATTTGGGAACGATTTTTCCTCAGCGAAAAAGGTCATCATTTTTCATTGTAACTGTGCGAGAAAAATTAATTTCTTACATAAATATTAACGAGACAAAATTGGAAATTACGCTACGTTCAACGTATATACGGGGGACATTTTTAAGGCCTCATCTCTCTCTCTCTCTCTTTCCGCGATAAACGTCACGCGAGTTAATCTTCTATCGATCGTACAAGCGAGGAGTATTTAACGCGTGATTCTCGAGCGTTGAAAAATAAGCCTGATATTAGACACGCGAGGAGAGTCGGTGGAGGCGAGAAAAAGCCCGAAGGAAAAAAAGAAGCGAGAATGGCGGTCTCGGTCGATGAAACGTTTCCGCAGGGACGAGTTGGAATGAGCCGCGCGCGGAAAGCTGGGGAGGAGCAATGAGGGAAGGAGGAAGCGAGAACGAACGGAAAAAAGTGGACTCGCGCGCAACCACGAGAGAAGCGATGAAAAAACAGAGAGAGAGAAACTCGGGGGATGGCATTTCGCATTGTAAAGTTTTCCAGGCAACCGCAAAAGAGAGGGAGAGAACGATGGAGAGAACGACAGGAAGGACGACAGAAAAGACGACACGGACGAAAGACGAAAGGGGGATGAAACTGGAGAAAGAGAGGGTTCGGTTGGTACAGGGTGGTTCTCGCTGTGTTCTCGTTCGTTTCCTCTCAATTCGTCGGCCAGTGGCAGCGGAAAGAGATCTCCGCACACGAAGAACGGGAGAATGGAGTCGCGCGGGATGATGAGCGGCGGAGGGAGAGATTCGCGTAACGAGAAGGGGGTTGAAACAGGAGAGAACTGCGACTGCTGCGCGAGAGAAATAGAAAGGAAGAGGGAAAAGGAGAGACGGAGGCAGCCAGTTACGAAGAGGTGAGGAGTCAGGAGGATACGACCGAAGGAGGGTGCAAATAATAACAATAATCATATTTCCCGGCAACATGGCCGCTGAAAGAGGGTGGCCGCCGCCTGGTGTACGCGTAGGAGGGAAGCGAGAGAGAGAGAGAGAGAGAAGAAGGGAGGGTTATCATAATATTACAAACCACCGCCGCAGGGACGTATCTATACAATCCCTCACCCTCGCTCGCGTTCCAGCCCTCCTCGTGCTCATCTCTCCCTCTTGCCTAACCTAAGTTACCCCCTCGCGCGCAATTCGTACGAACGGTCGCATCCGGCAATTGTCGCGTTATATACCTACCTCAACCCCTCTCTCTCTCTCTCTACCCTCTATCTCGGTGGGGTCTCTCCGCTGTTCTCCGTGGATACGATCCCGTAGAAAATGTACACCCGCGACACGATCTGGCTTTAGTTTCCACGCCCAATGGCAGTCGCCGTTCGACGTGGATTCTCGCTTGACGAGGCTCATTCGCAGCCCCTATTACACCACCCACCCTCTAGTCTCATCTTCGACGACGACAAACGGCCCGTACGTTCGGAAAAAATAATTACCTATAAATTCTATGCCGGCGAGGTCGACGCTTCGTCTTTTTTTTTTTTTTTTTTTTTTTATTTATTTATTTTTCGCACCCGCGCGGCGCATTGTTCGCCATCGGAATAATACCCCAGACGCGAAACGACGAACTTTCCTACCCGACGATTGTCTTCGGTTACGGTACCGTTAACGGTCCATTTTTTTTTTTTTTTTTTTTTTTTTTTTACAAGCCACGAATATGTCGAAGCGCCTCGAATGCTCTCGTCGTTATACCGCCGCGCTTGCCAGGCACCGAGAGTATTTGTCCGGCGCTCGGGCTCGCTTTTGTTTTAATTGTACGGCGCGCGGTCGAATCGCGGAAAAAAATCCCACTGGAAATGCCGCGCGCGCCGACAAACGACCGGGAGTATCAAAACTACGGATAACTCGATGGAATTTTAATGTCGCTTCGCTCGAGCTTATACGAGGGAGCTGCGCGCGCGGGAAAATAAAGGTCCGCGCATTTGTAATCCCGATTTTATTAAGACATTGTACGAAATGATATTTTGATACGCGATTAATTTTCACGTGAATTAGAGAAGCGAATAACGATCTGACACCGATGGGATTATCAATGTGGCGTCGTGGATTATTATTATTATATTACGGTTGCGATTATGAGAGAACGCCTGTCTGTCTCAATGGTGGTACAAGTTCTTAATCGCAGACTAACACTCCGTTTATCCTGTTGTC